TTGAATTCCATTCAAAGCTTTGGTATCTTTTTGATCTGTTAGTAGTCGTTCATCAGTGAGGAATATATCTTTGGGAGATATTAATATATTCGAAATATATAATACATAACCAAGCACAGTTATCGATTTGATCGACCTCGACATAACAGAAGCGCTTCGTCGCCAGAGGGCGCAATTTATGGCAGTGGTGTATTACTCGTAGTGTCTTGTACACTGGCACATCCGTGCGTGCTATTTAGCCTTGTTAGCGTATTAGTATTAGCGACTGTACCATCCTCCTTGATAGAATAAAAGATCTAGCCAAGCAGGAATTATATACAAACTTGAATTAATATTCATTCCATTCCATTCTATTCCAATATATGTCCTTCGTTTCCATGGTTACGTACTTAATGGAAAGTTTCACTTATTACGTGGGACGATTACTGTTTCAAATGTTGAATGACACGTAAGTTGAATGCTACTGTGACTTCCCGGCCGCAGAGGTATGCATGTAGGCTCCGAAGTAAAGACACCCCTCCCCCTTTTCAACATTTTGTAAAATTGAGAGTCCCCATGTTCCGGATTATAAAGAATTAACCCCCATCCCCCCATGTAGAATTTTGTCTGTGATTTTCGTTTCCGTTAAAATGTATCCCCCAAATTGTGTGAAAAGATAACCTTGACCATCCATCCTTCCATTCAAGATGTAGAATTAATTCCTTCCAATTTTAGACAAAATGTATGACGTAGAACCATTATTTAAAAAAAAAAACTGTCAGAAAGCAGACACACACTTTTTGGCATTGAGTACGGGGCTGAATTGTAAATGTCCTAATAATAGTGATGAGTACCTTACAATCTGGAACAACTTGTTCTTTGGTCAGTGGAAGTTTACTTCGCCCAAAGCCACGGATACTTGACCCTATTAGCGCCACATTGTCAAAGCTCTTAGTGTTAAATGCTATTTTCACTCTCAAAGATTTGAGAGAAATAAACCCCTTTTTTCTTTTATATGCCCGAGGATGTCATCTGGTTTCCACTAAAAATAAAGTAGAAGCACAGTCCGTATTTCGTGGGCCTCCTTTCTCCTTCATTGGCCACGAATAACTTAGCCATGGGATGGGCTATATTGTTTCTTTCTACTTTAATGTTCAATACAAATTGCTATACGCCCCTTTTCACACGGCTGCATGGCATGGAGGATACATCTAATCGCACATTGAGTGAAATGAAGGAGGGGCATGAATGAGTTCAGTGGGATGTAATGAATACGATTGCTTACGTGATAGATACACTATGTCCAATATCATGACGAAAATCAAGTTCGTCCTGTAGATTGGAATATGTCGATTGCTTGACTCAGTTCGTAGCCCGTAGCAACGGTGTAACGATAAATCATGTGTGCTCGGGTATGAAAGCGCCGGGAGTCTATGAATGTGGAACCAAGAACTATTGAGAGGTCACGTACAGAAAAGTAAATCTTCTATTGATATGACGTTTGTAACAGTGTAGTAATCTTTTGCGGTGTTTGTTGGAGACGTTGTCGTGGAATGTTATTGTCACACACTGTCCTTCTGTGTCGCATGCAGTTATTGAAGTTGATGGTAATTTTCGAACACTACACAGTTTTATAGGATATGCTATTTGGGGAAGGTTTGATACGTGCATGATAAATGCAGTCCAGTCGTACTATGCGACAAACAACTTATATTTTTATCATAGAAAAATACACTAAGTATTGCGTACTGGAGGGAGGAAACAACCACAACCAGTTGTTTGTGATTGGCGGTGGTGCTCGAAGTCCCGAAATTGGCAGGGGCGACATAAGTGTATATAATAACTCCAGATTCATACCCCTTCCAGAGTACAATAAAACACGAAAATACAATTTTTCAATTTGCAAAACATTTTTGATTAGGTTTTCCCCCAACGTATAATTATGATTTTCGAGAATTATTGTTTTCAGAAACAACACGGAATACTTCATTCGGTGACACGTCCGCGGTACCAAGCTATTCAATAGCAGTATACATTTACGATATTGTGCGCTTTAGAAAGTTCGAACCCAGATTGCAGCTTATACGTCACGTTCGCCCTACTTTCAATATTAAACCACCAGAATACCGAAAATGAAACAAAATTTCAAAATATCATGGAAAATGGTCAAAATTGTTATTTTTACACCTGTTTCTATGGTGAGATTATTTATTCATATCTCAATTTTGCTCGGTGACACTCATGAGATACTGATATGAAATCTAAAATGACTTTGAAATCATTAAAAAAAATGACATGTAATTTGAGTTTCCGGGGTGATACTACTCAGGTAGTTTTCTATTAAATAAAAGGTTATCTCCCACAATGCACTGCGTATATGTGATCATTAGTGCGACATATGAATTCGGTTCAAACTGCCTCAAATATGTAATTTCATCAGAATAGGATCATGACCATCGGCCCGAAACAGTAAATAAAAAACATTTAAATTGTTTACAATATTTCGGCGGCTTTCCTGCCTTAAGGTAGCAAGAAGGGAAATTTTCACTTTTTTCTTGATTTTTCAAAAATTGATAAAACGGTTACTTTAGACCTTGATACATCACCCCAGGTTTACAAAAGATCGAAATTACGAAATAGCGTTGCTCAAATTAGTGTTTTAAAACACTAGCAGAAAAGACTACAACTGCCGTTTCGTGGATATTTGCATAGTGTTTATCTTTGGAAGGAATTAAATGATAACATCTTATCTGTATACTCTGTTGTTGACGATTCTGA